TCTCTCTCTCTCTCTCTCTCTCTCTCTCTCTCTGTGTGTGTGTGTGCGTGTGTGTGTGTGTGTGTGCTTTTCTATGATTCTCTGCAATGAGGTAGAGAAGTATCTATTATGTCAAAGAGTAGATACTGTCTTTAGTTAATAATGCTATCTATTGCGATTTATAAGATGATTTGTAGGTGGAGATGTAAAAAAACTAATTGTAATGCATCAGAGAAAAAATTTGCTGAAACATGCATATGTTATACTTGTAAGGCGACTAATTGAAATGCATTTGCATGAGTCATCTCCAAATATAATGTGAGTAATCATATTTGAGATGTAGACTCAGTGCTGCGGCCAGTAAATGTTCCATTAAAGCTCTACATTTCCATAATGGAGTTTAGCTTAATTGTTTCTTGTTTTGCACCGTTCTATCAGCCTCTCTTTTTTGTAATCTCCATATTCAAGGATTTGATTCTCAATTTGCCATTCGACAGTATGTTTTGTTAAAGAGAATTTTATTGAGTTAAACATATTACGAAACCTGTTTGACAGAATCCATATGTGAGACTACATCAACAATAGATGTGTCTTCCTAAGAATAGTTATATGCTGATTGTTTCGGCAACTTAACATTTCTTTATCGGGTAATTTTTCTGAATGGTAGAGTTCTCTTTCTTAATTTTCTGCATATTCAGTAAAGACGCGTAAAGAGGCAAAGAGGATAGCATTGATGGAGTCGATATCCTCCATGCAAGGTAGAATTGAAGAATTGAAAGAACTCGTGGAAGATCAGGGGGAAAAAAAGAATCAATATGCTGCTATAATATCTCAACAGCTTGAAGGTGAGGAAATTGTCATAGAGTGTTATTTCAAGCGTATAGTGCCAGAAATGATGCTTAAAAATGATACTGCTTATTAAGTTGGCTGAAGTTTATGGTTCTTGTTGCTTGTATCCGATTTTAACTTAATTAGCGAGCAGAGACAACTTCTTGTTAGTTACTATGTAGATACATGAAACTGATGAAAATAAAATAAATAATAATCCTAGGAGTTGAACAAATCTGTAACTACAGGTGTATTATTGAGTATTGGCATACAAAATCAAGGGCATGAGACATTGTCTGAAAGAACTATCTCGAGTTCTCGAAGATTATCGCCTTTCCTATTTAGCTGAAGTTATACTCATGTCTCATTCGATAATCCAATAGCATGTTGCTAATAGTTATCAATATTAGCTAAAATGAAAAATTTTAGCCAAGGGTCACGGTATTGTAAGATGGTTGATGCCTGTGAGAAAGCTACTGATACTAATTAATCTTGGATCACAACTTAAAGCTAATTATCTATTTGTTTAACCAGTTCTTTTTTCCTGCTTTTTTCATTTCCTTTTAACTTTTTGGCCTTTGGTTTCCTCTGCTTTCCAAAGTGTTGCTCTTGGTAATTTTTCTTGATTATATAATATATTAAACCTTTATTTGAGCTGATTCGATTTGTGCTTTCCTTTTTTTTTTTTT